GTTTAGGATGCTAATACCTTCCCTAAGCTTAATCAACCCCTTACCTAGGTCTCTCCCCGCATTGTGTTTACGATGCAAAAATAGGTTTTCCCTCTTTTGACCTTTTCCTTCTGATAAATGAAAGAGTAGTTGTGAATTAAGAATTGTGATTCAAACTAATTAATAGTTTGATATCCTATTTCCACCACAACAACTTCTAATGGTTCTGTATAATAGGCATCTGCCATCTGCAAGGGGTTTGTGTTGACCTTCATTTAGTTGCTGGCCTTCTCCCCAAATTTCAAACGTCCCTCTTGAATTGCATTTTGAACGAGATCCCTGAAAAGAAAACATTGAGACGTTTTATGACCCTAAAAATTATGGTATTTACAAAACTCTCTTTTCTTCCTTTGTTCTACAGACGACATTTTAGCACCAGGTGGCACTATCATCTGCCCATCTTTTACTAACAAATCGAAGATTTCATCACATTTAGTGATATCAAAAGTATATGTTTTCTTTGGGAACCTATCATTCTTTTCAGATTCGACAAAATTCTTCCCTTGTGGGGGAGCCAATACTTTACAAGAATAAGGTGGACCTTGTTTTAGTTCAGCAAGATCCACTTCAGTTTCGTCTAAGTATAAGGGATCATCGCATACCCCTTCGACATTTTCATTGAATTCGAAAAAAGCTACCTTCTTGTTTTTATTGAACTTATCCTTTTTGTCTTTAAGTCGTTCCAGTTGTCGAACTCGATCGGCTAGTTGCGCCATGTCCCTTAGGTACTGGGTGTCCAACTTCTTTCTAATGGAATATTCGAGACCCCCAGCGGCCATCTCGACCAACTCGTGTTCAGGGACCTGTGTGAAACATCTAGCCTTAAGTAATCGAAACCTATTAAGGCACTCTTCGATTGGCTCAGAAAACTTACGCTTCACAATAACGAGTTCTTTTAGATTAATCTTGGTTTGACCCATGTAGAACTGTTCATGGAATAAACGCTCTAACTGAGTCCAATTACACACCGTGTTGGGGAACAACGTTGTGAACCAAGTGAAGGCATTTTTAGTGAGAGAACTTGGAAAATATTTTATTCTAATACTCTCGTCATTTGCTATCTCTCCGGCCTCAATTAGATAACGGGCCACATGTTCGATAATGGATTTCGTCGTATCTCCTGAGAACTTAGTAAACTTGGGTACTTTTGTTCTAGGAGGCAACTTCGCCTGAAGGATATAATCCACTATTGGAGAGGTGTAGTTTGGCCAGGTGAACCCAGTGTTCAAACCATTTTGAGCCATAATTATTTCGACCATGGCTGCTAGATTATTATCGACAACCACGTTATTGCGTCGAACCTGCTGAACGACATTGTTTGCGTCCTGGTTTCGATTCACTATAATTACTTATGGGTCTCTTTCCTCTAGAGCATGAACCTGCTCTCTCAACGGTTCGACCCTAGGTGGTTTGACTACGGGATGACCAATCCTTTCTTGGATCTCCACTGCTGGTTGGTGTCCCAAGTCTTGTCGTGGAACGTTTGCTACCGGGGCCTGATTCCTGGCCAGGGGAGGTACCTCCATGAATTCAGCCAATCGCGTCAATTGTATTGCTAACTGTTGATTAGTGTGGGTCGTGTTTTGGATTAATGGTTGAAAATTTTCACTCATGGTTTGGGACAGAGTCTGAACCATCTGCAAATTGCTTTCATCCATTTGCTGTCTTAAACACGCAACAGAGGTATTGGTCAGGTTAGGGCCTTGTGTCGAAAACCCTAGGCTCGAACCTTAGAGATTTCGACCGATGTTCACGCCAGACCCTGATCCTTGTAATGGCAAAGCCATTGCATTATCTGAGAATATGGGGGGCGCATTTTGGAGCCCTTGTATTACAGTTGTGGGCATCCCATATGGGGGGTTTCTTGGTGACTGCGAAAACCCGGGAGAAGCAAATTGTCTAGAAGTCAAACTTCCTCCCAACGACATTTGAGGATTCGACACCTGAGGTCCAATATATTCCAACACTGGTTGATTGTAACGTCTTATTATGGTCGACCCAATCCCAAGTACTGAGGGTGTTGGCTCTGGCCTCACAGGATGCGCTGTTTGTTCTCTTGTTGACGGTGTCGAAGGCGGGACTACGTCGTTCCCTGTTCTTTCACTAGAACCGTCTCCTTGAGGGTTAGGATTATTTGGCTAATTTGCATCCGTCTCCATATTCCTAATGTTTCGTCTTGTTAGTCTCTCTTCGTTTACAGTGGTAATTCTACCACTTCTCAGTAACATAAAATGCACTTTTCACGAAAGGACTAATAAGACTGTATTTTCTACAAATTTTGATTATATGAAGGGATTTCTTTTTAGCACTGTCCCACTGGGTGTGCCATTTCGTTTCAATTAAAAATTGAAAAACAACCGTTGATCTTCTAAATCTAACTTTGTTGACTCATAGGATCGATCAGATTGATCCTAGGACATGTGCTAAAAAGGTTTTCTTTGAAAATCTATCTAAGTTTCACACTTTGACAATATTGGGGTGAAAGATTCTAAAAGGTATCTACTCGACTATAAGAGAAAAAGAAGATAAAGTTTTCAGCAAGGAAAAGATAAAAGCTTTAGAAAAAAGGGTTAAGAATGAAGACGAAGTAAAATGCATAGAGAGGGGGAAGATTGCAAGAAAGATAAAGAAAGCTTCGTAAAGTTTAAACAAGTAAAATAAACTTCATTAGAAAGTAAAGGATGGCGTGTTTACATCACGTACATTCTCTTTGATACTCTCTTTCTCTACACTCGGATACTTGGAGTAATTTTAAGAGTGACTTGTACAATAGTAAATTACAACACACGAATTCTATATCTAAGACCTCCTATTTATAATAGTAAAAAATAACTATCAATAACTTCCTACATCATCATCTTCCGCCACTTGTCGTGATGCATGGGTTCATCGCCCACAGGGAGCCACATGTCCTTTTAGTCATCCAGCGAACGAAACCACTCCCTCCAATTCATTTGAATTTCAAATCTTTAGGATAACTACCAAGCAGCGTCACGGTCGAAGCCTTCATGATTTTCCTTAAGTCTTGCAAGTGTTTCGACTCCTCTTCCTCAAAGGTCTTACACTTTTCGACCAGCTCTCACCTTCAACAAGACTAATACTTCTTCCTTAAATATCTTTACCCTGCAAGAGGTGTCGAATTTGAGAGATAACAGGGACCAACAGTTACCTAGCACTGGGCTGCCAGGCCCAATGTTGGTAACTGCTATGGCTGACGTGGCGTCGCGAAGACCAGAACGTGGTCTTCGCCCTAGAGTAACTGTTCTGCACTATCCAGGAGGAGGAACACCGAATCTCCAGGACGTGGGTAGTTACTTTATGACGTGTCCCTGCGTGAGGGACACGTATAGAAAGTGGGAGGTTGCGCGAGGAGCTCCCTAGAAAGACTGGGCTCGACCCGACGAAGGGGAGGACAAAGGCTGGCTGACCGACAGCGAGGATTCTGCCTGACAGTTGAGGGCCTATGCCCGACGAAGGAAGAAAGCTATGCCCGAAAAGTCCCTGCTCGTCAGCGTGGTCCTATTGGACCCAACTTTAGTGGGGTTTGGGCTTGCTCGATTGTGGACTAAGCCTCGACTAGTCCAGAACAATTATAAACAAAAAAAAATTATAAAAATCATTATTTAAAAAAAAGTTATGGAAACTAAAACAAAACTTAGAATATTTATAAAAATTAAAAACATATTTAACTCATAAGCTAATAAAAAAACTCATAATTTATAACTTTTTGTGCCTCTATTGAATATCAAACACCTGAAAGTGGATGGTAGTAAGAAACCACCAGCGTTATAAAATAAAATAGAATAATACCACAAAAATAAACTGTTCAATTATGCAGCCAACTTGTTTGGTTTTTAAGAACATGACATATTCCACAGTTAACAATTTAACATTATCCGAAATTTCTTAAATCGAATGTGAGACGTTTACTTCAAGATACCATCCTTAAAAGCAAACAAAAAATGTATATATGTCTCAAAACAGAACTTGTAATTATTAACCATATACTTCTACTTTCAATATCGCTATCCATCACATATACAATCGATGTAGTAACACATTATTTAAAAATAAATAATAAATATTTTTTTAAAATATATATATATTTAATGAACTGAAAAGACTTATTTTTTTATTTGAAATTCTTAACCGAAATACTTATTAACATAACCCCTGAAAAATTCGCAGTAATCCATTGCAGAACCAACTTTGAAACAGTAGAAAGCACTATCATTTTTCAACAATCTCTGTGCCACTAGATAAACTCTTAACACTTTTTTCTAAACAATCTCAGCAACACTAGATAAAAATATCACACAAGTGCTTTACCCAATAAAAGAGTAAATGTTAAAAAGAGAAATTTTCAAACACTCTGATCCAAAATAAATATTTATTATTAAAAAGTGCAATAGATCAAATAGAACCCACGGATCCGGCGTATTGGGGGCCGGCCTTCCACCTCCACATTGTAAGTGGTAAAAAGTCTAGCTTTTAGAGGATTCATTAGCTTCAAATAAACACTTGTTCAAACCAAGAAACATTATTATAGTGGAAGACAGGATACATGAACTTGTGCAGTGAAGGTGGAACCCGTTGCAATTGGTAAATAAACTTTGAAAGACATTATAAAGCAATCCAAGAGAATTAACCAACCAAAGAATGGTACATTGGTACTTATCATACATCATGAATCCCAAGGACCTGTGACTCTAGTATATCACTACTCTACAGCCTTTTACGGCTAGAACTAACCATGAAAAATTTTCCCTTCACCGCTGCCATTTGTTTCTCCGTTACAAGAATTGGTAAGAAAAAGTTTCTCATCCACAATAGCATCCATCGGTTTCTATTAGACGGAGTCTTCAAAATGCTCTGGATTGGCCTGTTTAAGAAGCCTGTACATTGTAGGGAGTGGTTTCACCAATTCAACATCGCGTAATATTGTTCCAAAAGTCCTGCTTTCAACTCATACCATCCTCAGATGGCATCATATTTAGATCTGGTATCATGAAAAAACTTTCCCCGGTTGACTCAATCCTGTTAGGCCTAGATTCTGATGCTTGTGGGCGAGTGTTGTCTGGGGCGTCATGGACCTCAGAAGATACTATTCTCTGGTGGGGCTGACCAGCAACCGTACCCCGCAGTTCAACAGAAGTTGAACTTGGCTTGTTATGAGATTTTGATCCAAAACCAAGCTGAGATCATAAAAAACTGGGATAAGTATCAAACAAACTTGACATCTCAGAAAAATATATCAAAATTATTCACATAGGGGAAAATTTGAATTTACCTTCATCCTCTTCAAACTCTCATTCGTAGTTCTCATTACCTCAAAATTTGCATTTTTAGTGGCAATCTCCTGCAAAACAATATTGATATATTAAGAATCGAGCATGACATCCAAACATATGCCTGAAAAAAAAGCAAGATCAGAAAATTACCCTTTCTAAATAGATCTTTTCCTTTATCAGGGAGCTCTCCTCTTCCTTCAATTCTGCAAAAGACTGAAGAATGGAAAAAACAATCATAATTTAATGATCTTATAAATCAATAGGTGTCGTAAGGACACAAGCAATGACTTGTTAAACAAATTGAATAGAAGAATTATAATTTTTTGAAGTAAAGAAGGAGGAAGCTACATGGGAAAAAAAAAAAAGAAAAAGAAAGCTAGAAGCAATCAAAGTAGCTTTTACCTTTTTCTTTCTGCCCCTTTTGGTAGAGGCGGAGTTGCTTGTGTATCCACTTGTAGCAGTAGCCTGAAAAAAATTGCCATTATTAAAAGAGAGAAATGGGATCCAAGTTAATTTAAAAGAGTACAAAAGACATTAATAACAGTAAATAAGAAAAGGAGTGGAGTCAGACCGAATAAGTCAGCATAACCCAAGGAAAGGTATAATTGTAGCTAAAAATGAGAAACTCTACAGAGAAGTTACTCAAAAATCAGAATTGCTCAACATTATTTCCCCATATTTACATCGATCTGTTTATACATTGGGACACGTCTTAGATGAATGACAAGACAACGAAGCTACCATACTCTCAATTTCAGGCCCACGTATAGCCACCCATTAATTGTTCTTTCTAGTTGAAAAAGAATCCACATAGGACAGCCCAGCTGGCGTTACTAGAGGCACGCGATATCACGTGATCACCTTTATTTGGGATGCTCACGTGACTTGGATCCCATTAGTTTAAATATAAATAGTGTCTCGATCTCGAATTCCATTCAATTTTTAAATTAAATATATTTCATTTTTCTATCTTGTTTATTTTGGGGATAAGCTTATAGAAAAACAAAATGAGATAATCAGCACAGCGCGCTGCATGCTGCCGACTGAAGTGGGCCAATGGCGTAGATTCTGCTATGTGCGTGTCTGTCTCTCCCAACAAAATCCTAATGTTTAGGGTTTTAATTAACTTCCCATTTAAGTCACCAACTTTAACTACCCTCACCTCACCCTTCACTTTCAATCCCGTGATACTGATCCGTCATCTAACTGCTACTCATAACACATAGTATGGTTGTTGCTGTATGCATCTTTCAGGACGAGAAACCCCTTTAATTTATTCATTTATAAATACTTTGAAATTATAAATCAAAATTTGTTGGATCTGTATTAAAATTCTCATCATAACCAAAAAAACAATCCCACTTTAATGGTAATAATCGCGTCTCAAATGAAAATTGCAGAAACTACGATCAGGAATTGCAGTCACGAAGCAATCCTTAAACATTGGATTCATCTTCTTTATGCACTTCACCCATCCCTATCTTAAACTCAATGGGACCCACAAACCATTAGTATAATCAATTGACGAAAAACACCCTCGATCTCTTCGAAGAGAAATTTAATTTTAAAACTCTTTATTTAATATAATTAAATATTCCAAAAAAACGAATCTTATTTTATTTTATTTTGTTTATCGACACAAAGAGGCCGGGAGAGTGTTGGAATCGTCAGATTATTATAAATTTAATTTAAAAAATAATTTCCAGAATCTTTTTAGAACCAGGAAGGGTGTTTTCGTCAAAAACAACAGAATGACATGGGTAAGTAAAACCAAAGCATGAGCACAAAACACCACGATCTTTCCTCTTCGACTCAATGGCTGACATCACGCCAATCTAGATGTCAACAACATCCAGGGGCATTTCCGTCACCAGAATTTTATAACAAAAATAATGAATGAGAAGAAGATTAAAGAAACGCATAAGTTCATAATCATAACATAAAATACTCGAGAAAAAATATATCAAAAAAAGTGAATATCAAAATCAAACGGTTTCGGTTTCAGTGAGTGCGTAATTTTTTTATTTTAAAGATATGCTGAAAATAAAAATGGCAAAATTGAGATTTTTTCCGTCAGCATCCGCTGTCAGCGGAAAATCGAAAACGAAATGCGCGATTGTAAAAAGAGAAAAGCAACTGGCCTTTGGCATGTGAATAAAGAGATCGAGGGTAAAACCGTCAAAACGAATGAAACTTAGTTCAAAAGCGATAATGTTAGACACACTCAAAACCGTTTCAACCGCCGGAGCAACATCGCTCACGGCAGAGTTACGCAGCTTTCGTAGATTTTTCGGTCAAAAACAGAAAACAGATTTCAGATGAAGAGAACGATGGAGGAAGAGAGGTGAACACAAATTCATAGAAACAAAAATGAATCAAACCTTGGATCTGACGGCGTGGTGGTTTTGGTAGCGACTGGAATCTTCGTAACCGTCAGCAGTGAGAGACGGAGATGCGCCACCACTCCAAGAGAGCGGCGTCGTTGGACTGCATCTGGTTGAAAAAGCACGGTCGCAGCGAGAGACGGAGGCGGTTAACCTCGATCTTGAGCGTGGTTGTTTGTTTCCCCAAGTAAACGGCACGGGCTGAGATTTAGTGTTAACGCCGTGTTTTAGCTGTAAGAGAAACTCGACGAGAATCGAGTCGTCTTTCATGGCCGCTCTGGACCAGTCGTCGTTGACCATCATCTCTTGGGTTGGCGGTGGTGAATAACAGTCATGTAAGAGAGAGAAGAATCTGGTGTGAGAGTGTGTGGCAGAGAGAAAATGGTAGTGGTGGCGATTGTGTTGGGTGAAAATGAAAAAGAAGAAGAGAGGGTAGAGTAGGGGATAGGTTTATATATATACACTAGTATATATTTTGATAAAATTGTGATGATAAATAAAAATGAATAATAAATAAGAATAAAAGAAAGGGAAAAAAAATATGAAAAGAGGGGTAGAGATATTATGTGGCGGTGAGGAAGAATGAAGGTGGAGTAGATTCGAGTAATTCGTCGTTCATAGGAGTTACTAAAGCTTAAAGGCAAGGGTTGTGTCGTGGTAAGGTGGGTCTCACTCTTTTCCGCTCTTTCTCATTCTATTTCGGACCCAAGGGACCTACATAGACTTGTGACACTTTCATTATACACATTTGCTAATTATTACTAAAACTTCAAATTAAAACAAAATTGTAAAAAATATAAGAAAAATGCATAGGAATGAATGATAGATGACTTTGGATCCTCTCCTCCTTCTTTTCTCTTTATTTCTCTTCATCTGCTCTATCTCTCTTAAGTAAAAATAATTTTATAATGGCGAAAAAGAGTAAGATTAAAAGAGATAGAAAGGAATGAGAGAAATTGTAAGAAAAATAGAAGAATAGAATCCAAGTCTAAAGTAGATTGACAAGAGATTAATATATGTACATCAATTAAATTTTTGAAAAAACATCTAATCAAAGTGTATTAAATAAGTATTAATTCATAATTTTCTAACCAACTTAAAAGTGTTATTATAAAATAATTTGAATATATGAATGTATAGAAAAAAGTTGTCTTTCTTCTTTGTGTTGATGACCATTTTATAAGAGTCTAATAAAAAAATGATTTGAACCGTAAAAGATTTAAATATTCTAAAAAGCGATAAGAATCGTCAAATTAATGAGGAAGAATCTTTATCGTCCAAAATAAATGTTTAAAAAGAGAATGTTCTAGAGGTCTAAACCCTAAAACTCTACTATAATGATTTAAATAAGGCATCATAATTAGGTATATTACTATTCTAACTATAAATACTTTTTTACTTTTAAATATCACTGATTTGGACGTCAGAGTATTTGTATGTACATCCATCGTCGAACCAGGTCACTGAAGTTCAAACAATATTTTAGAGTTCACGGTCAGATTTAGGTCCACCGCCTCTTTTGAAAACTACATTATATTTGCAAGATCATTGGTGTCGTTCATGGGAAACACTTTTTGATGTTTCCACTCTCTTTCGTCTCATGGAGGTGAATTCCGATGAAGAATATTTTACGCAAAACCTCTCTAACAACACCTTGATTAGAACAAAGTGTGATTGCAACCAAGACTTCTACAACGAAGAAACAAATACGTAGAGAATGAGGGCAACACAACTTCCTCCCTTCTTCCCAAACTCGAATGGAATGTTCAACCATTGGGATGATATTCATATTGTGGCTTGCATCACAGGACAACTTATGCACCTTTTTGGAGGACTTACCCATAGATGTTTTGTTTATAATGGAATATGGTGTCAAACACAATCTTTCATCGTGTTAGGGGATTTCCATTTTTAGATAGACTGATATTGAAAGATATTGAAGACATGGTATAACACCCTACAACCCCAACATTTAATTAAAGGATATTACATGATGATTTTCTCAAACGGTGTTACACATGCTCAACATACGATTTACTCAAAAAGATTATGATATAGCAGCGGAATTTAAAACATCAAAATTATTTCAAATTTCTAAAGATAATATAATTCAACTTCATTTAAATCAAATAATCTAAAAATTAAAAAAAAAAAAAAAACACCATCAAAAATAGGTAACCCCTCATAGTGTTACCTTATCGGAGCGACACGCAGAAACTACAATAAACTCAAAAACAATAAAATAACAAAGAAGGTCACTACGACATCCTCCCACTCAAAAACAACAAAAGCTCATCTACCTGAGTATTTGTACCACAATGGTGAAGAACAATACATAAACAAACAGGGGGTTAGAGTACATTCAAAAATGTTAGTGGTGCATAAAACAACAAAGGATAGTACGTTCAATCATCAAACATACGAATCATCCACAATAATAATTAATCACAAGTGAATTTATATATGTAACGTAATCAAATCCTCTACTCCAATGCATGTGGTACCAATTTTTAGATATCATAGGTATGTTACTGATTTATCCACTCATCATTGGTTCCTCTCTGAACTCGGTTCCATCTTTGAACCAACAGGCGCATCACGGGGTCCATTTATGAACCTAAGACTTGCCAATGGATCGAATTTCGTCACGTTGGACTAAAGTTCATAACCATTAGACTCATCACAAGTCCCCCCTCTGAACCTAAGACTCGTCATTGAATCGAAGTCTGTAACCTATCTCTGACATACATGATGCATGAAATCCAACAAACAATATCAATACAATTATCATCATTAGTTCCTCTCTGAACCCATAACATCACCAATATAAGGTCACAATAGTAGTTCCTTGTAACACCCTAAACCCTGAAACTTATATTAAAATAATTACTCGAAAATTTAAGGTGTCACTTCGACAACCCGCTAATAAAACCTAGTTTTGTTGCAACGTGCATCTATTTATGTGAGATAAATCTAAAAATAACTTACATATGGTTCATTTCTTTAATGTCACACTTGCAAATACTTAGGTTCTTATTTTTTTAATGATGTCATAAATTGTCGAGTAATTATTTTAACATAAGTTTTAGGGTTTAGATCTACTATTTCACCATTAACATGGTGAGTTAGGATAAACATACCATTTATTATAGTTTTCCACAATTCAAGATCAAAACTTTGAATGAATATTTTAAATCTAGCTTTCCATAGTTTAAACTTATCATCATTAAATGGTGGAGGTGTGTTTAGATAAGTCCTCTTGTTAAAAATAGTTTTAAAAGTCATATTCCTTTTTAGACGATTAGTTTTTAAACATGAGTTAGGGTCTGACGCCACTTGTTGAACATGAGAATCCATACACAAGAGGGGAGCTAAATTATAGAGGTTTGAAAATCTTTGATTTAAAACAAAATCATTTTCTAAATCAGTGTTTGAAAATATTTTATAAAAAAAAAATTGAATGTGCAACAAAAATTCGAAGTAAAGAAATTAAGTGGAAAATAAAAGAGAATGGCACCTGAAATATATAGAGGTTTGGTCTAAAGAAGTAACACACTCCTTTCCCCAATAACCAGTATTGAAAGTATCCACTATTTCTTGAGAATTTTTAGAAGATTAATCCCACGAACACCTTTATACAAGGAAATAAAGTTTCATGATAACTTTCAACCAACACAACAAATTAAGGCTTCAAACGGTTAGTCTCCAAACCTAACAACGAACTAAGCTTTGAGTGGTTAGTCTATAAGCCAAACATAGATTTCGCACAAGTTGATCTGGAATCAATATGGGTTTTTAGGTTTGATATCCTCTAAACCGAACCGAGGTTTTATACGAGCTTACCACGAACCAAACTTAGTTTTTTACTGAGTTGATCTCGGATCTACTGAGCTTTTAACTTGAATGAACTAAGAAATCAAGTGATATTTGACCGGGTTGAACTCAAGAATCGTTGTGAAGACTTTTCACTAGTTATTCTCCAGGAACCCAAAATAGAGATTTTCTTCAATGGCATAGTTCATAAACCAAACAAAGACTTATTATAATTCGAAAAGTCAAACAAAGAGTTTTTACAATGGTTTAGCTTACAATCAAAATAATCACTTCCTAATGAAGACTGGTTTACTCAAGAGAAAATTCCACTCTTGGTAAATTTACAATTTACCCCACACCCAGAACAAAATTCCTCACTAAATGCAATAACGCTCTCAAAGTACTATGAGTAAAATATATGAGAAAATTATAAATGATTTAGAGAGATTATGAGAGAAATTAAAAGTCAGGGTTTTTCATGTTTTATGGATGATTTGAAATGACAAATAAGCTATATATCTTTATAGGCCAAGAAATGGTGTAAATTTGGAAATGGGAAAATTAATGTCTCTTTATGTTTTAAGTGTATGTGAAATTTAGGCATGATACTTATATAAATGGCCTTGTGCTTTTACAATACACTAATCACATAGACGAACACGACCATAAGAGCTTTCATACTTCTATCTTTTACACTCTAAAACTCTGAGTCTTGGCATTATCTTTGACTTTAACACACAAGATCCTTAAGTCTTCTTGGTGAGGCTTGATATGCTTCCTTATTAGTTGTCATCATCTTAAAGGTAGAAAAACACAAGAAAGGGGGGTTTGAATTGGGTTTTTCAAAACATGCACAAATAAGATATATAAACCAAGAAGCAAAGTGATACATTTGGTTTATACAAGTTCGCCTATAATGAGGTTACGCCTTGTCCATCCGCCAAGGTGATTTCGCCTTCAATAAGGACTTAATCCACTAATCTTGAAAGATTACAAATTTTTTGTCTAAGTGTTAGAAAACAACTTAGTCCTCTCAAGTATACAGACTAACACTAAGTCACTTGAGGAAAATAATATCAAAAAGATTACAATGAAAATGTTTACACAAGTGCTTCTAAAAAGCGAATAAAACAATTTAAGAACAGTGTTTACACAAATATAAGCAACAACTCTTTTTGTTTAAGAATATTTAGACTTGGCTTTTTCACTCTTAAAGTGTTGTTTGTTCTTGTAAGTCTTCTTGCAATGAGGTAGTGACTCCTTTATATAGGTTTGATGGAGGAATGTTGGAAGGTACAAGTGCCACTATCAGTGTCAGCTGCAATAACAGTAATACAAAGATTGTGGGAGACAAGAGTAGTAAATTCTCACAACATTCCTTAACAATATTGGTGCACAATCAGTTTTTACCAAATTGGGATTGTACTGTAGTACGAATTCTTTTTGCGCAAGTTTCTGTCTTGATCTTATCTTCTAATGAACTTTATTTG